TTATTTATTTATTTATTTATTCGATTTATATCCCGCCTATCTAGTCGGTTACGACCACTCTGGGCGGGATATAAATCAAATATATGACTCATTAATTACTACAGGGTAAGAGGGTCCAAAAAGAAAAGAAAATAGTATTAATAATAATAACAATTACGTGTTGTCAAGTCAATTGCAAATTATGGTGATCCTTTCCAGGGTTTTCTAGGTAGAGAGTGCTCAGAAGTGGTTTACCATTGCTTTCTTCTGGAGGCACTCTGGCACTGTTGTTGCTTGCCCAGGGCTATGCAGGCTGGCTCTTCTCTTACAAGGCACAGTGAGGAATTGAACTCCCAGTCTCTGGCTCTGCAGTCAGGTGCTCAGTCAAGCTCACTCAGGAATAATAGTGAACAATTCAATTAAAGGGAGAGGTGTCAAAGTAAAGAATGCAAGAAGAACAGGGTCTGTTTTGAGCTGTCATTTGGTGCCGCACATGCAAGACTGTTCAGGTAGGTTTGTATTACATGATTTGTGCTGAGCTTTGTGTCGGCAGTGAAAACAGATTTTGAGTAGGCATTGCCATAGTTCTCTTTCTCCTGGATGGGGGTCTTTCCACATAACTGTTTGCAAAAAGCTTCTGTGTCACTTCCAACGCTCTTTAGGTATCCTATTGAGGGGTCCGGGATGATAACCCAGCCTTCCTCTTCTTGACCATGCTGGCTTGGGCTGATGGAAGTTGAAATCCCACACATAGGGAAGACCATTAGTTCAGGAAGGCTCACTGAGCAGGTGCAAGTTCCCCCCCCCCAGTCAACAGTCACCACATTTGGTGGTCCAGCAACACTTGGTACTCACTGATGCTAGTGTAACGCTAGTGCAGCACTACTATTTTAAGGGAAAGTAAAACTTATCAGTGTGCGTAGTAACATAGAAATAACAACACAGACACCAGGGTCTCTGTCACTGTACAGGCCAGCACATGTGGGAGCAAGCTATAGTTCAGATCAAACATGGAAAAAAATTACTTTCTTGGACTTTCTGGAAAGTGCAGTCCAAAACTAACTTTTGCCTTCTGACATCTCCATCCCAAAGTAGACAACTCTCTTCTTTTTGCCTGTCTTCTGCGCCCCACTCTCCTCCCTCTTCCTTTTACCCAGCCACCATTCTCAAACATCAGGTTTTTTTTTTTACCTATCGATGTATTTAACTGTGAGTTCAGCAGTGGTTTCCCAAAAGAACAGCTGATACCCTAAGAAAGCTAAACAGGAGCAGGAAAGTACTTGTAACTAAACTGTACATGGAAGATCACAGACATTGCAAATAATCCTAAAATTAAATACAGTAACTTGCTTTCATGAAAAAGAAAGAATTGGTGGTAGCAGTGTATGTGAGAAAGAAAATAATTTATCAGTATTAAAAAGTGGTTTGAATTTTTTTTGAAACTTTTGACTGGTGGTTTATGTTTTGGGAATGCACTTGATTTGCTGAAAATTGATCATGCAGATTTTCTTCATATCTAAGGTGAGATTATTCTGCCAAATCCATTCAGTGTTGATTACAAACTGTCAGCTCAATTGTCATCAAATCCAGTTATCAAAATCTTCAAAGAAGGTTCTGTTCTTTTAAAGTCAGCACCTACTTGATCAGGTGCATTGCATTAATCCTAATTTGACAGGCTTCTGCAATTAACATGCAAGTGAATAACAGTATAATACATTCTTGGTATTTAAGATACCACAAAATCGTGAAATTGTAAGATATCTCACTATTTGAACAGTATCTCAGACAAGTTACATAATGTTAGTGAAATCTTGTTAAAAACAATGGAATTATATCAACAGGATAACTCATAAATCTGTTTTTGTTTTTGCTGATGCAGGTCTTGTTGTTTTGAATAGTTTTTAAATTTCAGTATAAACATTTGAGCTCGAGATGTCTGCTCTTTCAAAAATTGTTTTTGAAACGGTGAAAGGACTGATAACCACTACCCTTTTGAAACGTTAACATGTTTCAATCTCTTAAACTGAAAATCACTCTAAGTTACTTTTTAAAAACTTTTCTGTCTTCTGTTTTCCTAAAAATGTGGTGGAATTTCCTTAAGATATTGCTAGAGATCTTTCAAGGTTACAGACATAAGGTTGTCAGCATAAGCTGGCTGAAATCCCCTAGTAATATTTTTACCAGTGTCACCTCATCCCAGTGAGTTTCTCTAGATAAATGAGGATTTGAATCCCGATCACTCAAATCCTAGTCTGTTACTCTTTCTATTACACCACACGGGGTCTCACTACTTTCAGATACTCAGTACAGTATTTATCTCAATTGAATGCCTGTAAACCTACAAATTGCCTTCTCAGAAAAACTTAGGTTTTTTATGCCTATAATGATGGGGAGGTCAAGGTTCTTTGAAAGAGAGACTGGGGAGATAAAAGGTATTGCCATCCCCTAGAACCATTGTTCTAGATGATGATACTGCTTATACAATTCCCACCATTTTCTCCAGTTGCTTATAGATTAATGAGATTTGGAATTCAGCAACAGCCAGAGAGCCACAATTTATTTCCTCTGCTAAGACACAGAGTCTTTTGAGTTATCAGGAATTTAAAAACAAAGGGGACAGCTTTTTTGTGTGTGTCAGTGATTCCCCATTTCTGGGATGCACTCCTCATAGAAGCTTGACCAGCACCAAAGTGAAGTCAGTTAAATGACTTATTTCCCCTGGCATTTTAAATATTTTAAAGCTTATGCCTAGTCTGCTCTACTGTTTTTGTGTTTCTGATATCATCTTATTATTTTGTGTGTGTGTGTGTGTTAGATTGCACATTTATTAAGCTATCCTTTTAATAATAATAGTGCACAAGAGTTTATGAGATTTGGTACCTTCTGGGTTTTATAAAGAGGCCCCAAGGATCCTCAGTACCAAGGTATTCTTCACAGACCTAGCCCAGCTTATTCTTAATTGTATTGAATTTTATAGTCCTTCTGTATCATCCTGGTGTCCATGAGGTTGAAGCATGGTTTTAAAATATTTTCAGTATTTTAAATAAAAAGCCAAACAAGTATAGAGTTGGGTGAGGCCCTCAACATCAGCAAGAAACACACACATATCCAACAGCTATGGTGTACATATATGTATTAGATCAGCAATATGTGATGAGACAAATAATTTTCCATGTAATCATATTTCTTTGTCACTCATCTTCTGTGGAGGTAAACTTTTGGTGACAATTATAATAGCTGAATTAATTTTGCTTATATTTCCATATCAATGGCAATGCAGAGAGCAGTGTTAAGTTATTTGTCTAACAGGATAAGGAAGCAACACAATTTTCTTCCAGCTTCCTAAAATGCTTTTCTACAGAAATTGAAAATTTCCTGGTGGAACAGGAAGTTTGCTCAGATTTTAACTTCACCCATTTTGAATTTTTTAAATTTTCATGAGTTCAAATTAAATTCTAATTTTCATTTTCCCCCACCCATGAATAGTGAATTCTTATAGCTAGTGATCCAATCATCATTTTGAAAGGTTCTCAGAATTTAAAAATGATGCTATTTTTCATTTAACAAAAAATGCAACCCCTTTATTGTTTTCAATTTTGACTTTTACAGTTTTGAACACCATATAAGGCTATTTTAAGTATTGAACATAGAACTATTTTAAGTTTCTGAACACAGAACTTTAACAGACATTTTTCCTAAATATTTGCTTCCAACGATTTACAAATTCCAGATTCTAAATCTTTTGTTTCTCTTTTTATTACTGTTGTTGTTTCAGTTTATATACCACTCCATATATGAATGTGCATGTGGATTCAGATTAGCCTCTTATCAAAAGTTAATTTGTCCCAAACTGCCCACTATTCTCCCGTAAGTCCCATTTTGAATAATATAATCCTAAAAGATCAACATATTTATATTCATGACCCCTGCAGGATTCCAATCTAGACAACATTACCACTGGCTGAGTTCTACTGAAACTATTGAAGAAGTTAATTGCCATGAAGTCCCATTGACTTCAGTTTGGCTTATGTGGAAATTAACTTTATTTTAGGGCCTAGATGTCAAATAGGGTCCCCAACTGCCTGGGTAAAATATTCTAAGGTAAAGTGCCAGCATCATTTCTTTGCAGAGAAACCTTCATGCTGCTATGTTCTACCATTTTTTTTCTACTACCGAGAGAGTGCTTGTATGGAGGTGGAATAAGCAGGGTTAATCAGTAATCAAATACTTATCCCAATTATCCATACTCTAGGAACAAAAACTGACATAAGGAATTGAGATACACTTTTCAGTATTTCCAGCCATATCAATAGGAAGACATAAAGCAGAGAGACCTGTACATAGGTGACTTTTAATTAAAGATACAGGACTCTTAATTGATATATGCAATGAAAGCCTCAGTAGCTCTTTGCCTGCCTATATTGGTTGGTGCTGCAATTGTGCTTTATGGCCAAAAACAAATAAAAAAGCAAAGGATTGGCATAAGATTTAAACACCAGGATGGAAAAGGCTTGAATGCTATCAGTCAGCCAGCTTGATTTACTTTATCATTATTTTTCAGTTTTGTAAATAAATATTAGTATCCTGTTGCCTAAAGTGGAGCAGAAGGAGACTGCATAAGTGTCCCCACCACCACCACTCCCAGGTTTCCTGTTGTATGCTCATTCTTACAATGGTTGGAAGACTAGCCACGCAGTGGGGAGCCAGGCAAAATGGGGGTGGATGCTTACACAGTGACCTCCAGTTTTAGGGAATTGTGTACCAGCCAAAGGTTTCTGTTTCTTGTTCAGCTGTTGACTCAGTCTATTCAAGCACAGGAAGCTGGTGGA